GTCAAGATTCTCCCATACAGACCGACCTAGCTCGGTTAATAAGATGTTTATTATATGGCTGTGTCTTATATGCCAATTTTTTATATTCTTTGTACCTTATTTTTCTAGACCGGTCTAGATGTCGGTCTAGATGGGAAAATCTAGACCACTTTCTATATTGATTTCAGCCAATCATATTCGTGAATTCGGTAGTTTCCAGTCCTTGTGAGACACAGCCATAAAATAAAATTATTTCTCAAACAGAAATCAGCTCGCATTTAGTAAGAAGAAATTGGTTGTTTGAACTTGGAGGTCGACGCCTGTTAAAATAATTTGTGTGCATCTACCTGATACAAAAAAAAGCCACTTTTCCTGTCTGTCAGTTAAGAAACAGGAGGCAAAATCCTTTGCAATGGTGATAAGCATATTTTTTAGATTTTGTTCCGTTTTTCGAGCAAAGTTATACCTTCATCGGAGACTCAAAGTAAGACCAGTGGAGCACCAGGTATTTCTCTCCATAGACAAATAAATACCTTTTGTTTGTCGCTGACCGAAAAAAAATAGAAACACCTTCCTTAATCCAACTGATAAACTGCTTCAAGGTGAATCGGACATCGAAACAGATACAATCAAATAGTAATAACAAGCGTCGCTTTTCAGAAATAGAGAAAGATAAGAACTAACAAAGAGCTTCTAACGTATACATAGTAAAATTTACAGGTTTATGGTGCTGCCAATTCGCAAAACGCAAGACGCAAAACAAAAGTATGTTTCAGTTTGCAATAGTTGTATGGAAAGGATTACAATTGAGTAACTAAACTGTTTACCTTTCTGCGCAGAGGTTTGTAAAGATTTACTAAAATAAACAGTTTTACTATTACTCTTAGTTTTGTAACTTACTTTCAAAGGCTTATAAAATCACTCTCCGTTTTCACCAAGCTGTTTTGCAAACAGCGAAACGTTAAACCAGAGATGAATTCTCTAATACTGTTTCCGTTCCTCGGTGCCTCAGCCGTCTTAGCAGAACCTGACTACAGATTGAAAGTGCAGCTCGCTCGGAGTTCTCAAATGAAAAAAAAGATCTAGGGCTGACTGATGTGAAAGATGAATCATACCCTCATCGATAATTTATTGTAAGTGTTTTTTCTTCGCCCTCTGTGGACAATGCGTTTTTCCTTGGTTGTCTTTCCTTTCTTTTACAATATGTCATTTGGACACATTTGAGATGTAGTGCATTTGGGATATATAAAGCAACATTTGGATTTTAGTGTTACTATCTGAGAGTCTCTGATAAATGCCTCTTTAAACTGTCTTCACTCCGACGTACGAGGAAGATAAAGGTTGATAGTTTCGAAAGAAACTGTTTGGGGCTGCGTCGGTGGGAGTAACGAAATAATTTGGGTATATCAACAAAGTTGAAGTGGTAAATTGGCCACCGTAACGACTACAAAAGCTGACGTTTCGAGCGTTAGCCCTTCGTCGGAGCGAATGACGAAGGGCTAACGCTCGAAACGTCAGCTTACGAAAAAGATAGATGCACGAAAGAAAGCAAGTAAACATAAAGCGACGATGGTATCGTTTCCTTAAGTATGTCATCAACGGGAAGCTCTTACTTTATTTGACATTACAGAATATACTTTATGTGAGGCCGAAGGTTTATCCCAAGTGAAAGACTCCTGTCAAAATATATAGAACGCTTCGAGAATTATGGCGGCTATATCAGATCATATCGATATTCTCTTATCATATACGCATTCGGAGGAGAGGAATACTCCAGATTCACAATAGAAGTCAAACAAATACGGGTCATGAATCTAATGGAAAAAGTGTAAAACATTTGGAAAGTTATTTTCTCTTCTGAATGTCAAACAGCGAGTACGAAGTGCTTTTTAAATTTATTTTCTCACGTGAAGATCAAATAGACTGTAATTCTTGTGCATAATTCTCCTTTAAACTTGTGGTCGGCAGAACCCATAGGTAGTAGAGGGTTTTGAGTTGGTCAACTCATTTATTCGGTAGATTTTACAGACAAACAAAAAAAAAAGGCTAAAATCTTCTGGTTGTCACAAAAAAAGAACAAATATGCAACCAACGCAAATATCAAATTCGAATATTTCAAACTTAATAAAAGGTTTGCTCCTCCCTGTGCCTTTAACATTTCCATGTACCCCATCTGCCTAGGTAGGGGGGCTTGTGACCCTGTACGTTTCATAAGCCAATAATGAACCACAGCCAACTTAATACTCCCTTTTATCACCATACAGAATGAGGCAAAACTAAATCAAGGATAATTTCCTATAAAAGTTGACACTTTACAAGACAAAAACTGAGAACATTAGAAAGCAATCTCATTTAATATATGCAAATATATAAAGGTAGAGGTCTGAGGCGCTATCTTTCCAAGGAAATAATTTCCCTTGAAAAGTCATAATTTGAATCA